CAGGGCCCGCGCAAGGCCCGCGAAGGTACTCTTCTCGGGGATTCCGCCAGAATTTTGCTGCCTGCAGCTCGTGCATGGACCTGGGAGGGAAGGATAATCGTTGAGAACATCTCCATGAACGCTGAGCCAAGGTTGGTCACATGCAAAACGAAGCACGACTTTCAGCTGCCGGAGCATGAACTTCGCTTTCTGATGAGCTGATAAGGATTCCCGTAGACGGATGTCCGACAGCATCCCTCTCAGAGCCTTGCTCAGCGAGGGGTCCTGGGGCTACATGTAGCTGCTTAATTCAAGATGCACCTTAATTTCTGGTCTTGATTTGTTGGTGGTGCACATCAACAAGCAAAGTGATGCACATCAGGGGGTTTGGCAACGCACTGCACTTGCAGTGCAAGCCAAACCATAGACTATCTTCACTCACTGCATTCACTGCTGTCGCTAACAGACATGCAAAGACAGTGGCAGGTAGCAAGTGGGCCTGTGCTGCTCCGTCCGACCCATGCTAACCCATACTTGGGTCATGCTTGCAAAGCTCCGGGAAGGATGTTGAAAAGCTTGCTATGCTGTGGAAGCGGCCTGTTGACACTCCGCACCGCCCACCTCCCATAACAGACTCGTTGTGTCTCCCCTTGAGGCCAAGATCCTTGAGAACTTGGAGGAGAAGTGGAACGACATCGACCGCAAGGCCATCACCTATGAGGTGAAGCACCAGGAGCTGGTGGAACTGTGCATGATTCCGCCTCTTTATTCATTGCCAGCTGTCCGGATGGTGATGATGGGGGTCTGATCATCTGTTCACAAGGAGTCGCAGCAGACCTTGTCTCACATCAGGCCCGGTGTCTGAAGCTAGCCAGACAGATATAAATTCGAGAAGCCAGGACCTGCATCGAGTCCATTTTCCGACGGCTCGGCTGCACCTCCGAGGAAGCGCAGTTTTCGGTGTGGGAGCGCCCGTCTGGAGCCGGGCAGCTGCTCGAATCAGGATCTGCCTTGTGGTTGCGGCAGTGGCATCTCAGAAGCCAACATGATGGTGTGCCGGCCTCGGTGGCCTTTTCCTCTTTTGTCCCCTCTCTGAAGCTTCCCCAGCTCTAAAGGATTTCACCGAAGGTATCTAGCAATCATTGAGCAGCGAACCAATGAGCTGCTGAAGATGTACGACTCCCTCAAGCAGGCCACTGGAATATAAGAGTGAAAGAAGCCGCTGCTCGAGGCTATGCTTGCAGACTCGCCTTTTTTGTTCTAGTCATCGCAGGAGGATGACGAGTACGAGAGCACGAGGCAGACTTTTTCGCACCACGCTTGAACAATTTATAGCTTCGTGCGGAGCAGCGCAGGCCAGCAAGAACTGGGCAGACCTCCACGAGCTTACAGATGAAGCTCCCGAGCACAGTAGAGGACTGGCTAAGCTGCACGTGCCCTCGCTGCCCCTGCCATCAAATCTCCTTGCTGTCTTGTTGTATGAGTTGCATGTACTGAATTCTGCAAGCCTGTGCAGGATTACTCAGATGATGAAGATGACGAAGACGAGGATGACCAGAGGCGAAAGCTGTCAGACATGTCACTGTCTATGAGATTCCTCTTTGTGCCAGTGCTCGTGGTGTACGCTTTTGAGGCCCTTCACACGGGACGAGCTGAAAACCAAAGCGAACAAGAACTACAACAAGAAGCAGAAGAAACCCAGGACCAAACTGCATGGCCAGATCTTGGAGCTGTCAGGTAATTTCACATCAGGCTGCAAGCTGCACAGTGGTCTTGCTACCAGGAAAACTGGAGCACCACCGGACAAGTAGCTGCTGGTGGCATGCCCAGTCGGAGTCACAAGAAGTTGAAATCTGGCAGTCGCAACACACCTGCCACCCAAGGATCAACGGCTTTATGCGTTTCTGTTGCCGGGACGACCTGAAAGGGTCCTGGCCCGGGGACCAGCCGCGAGCTCGCGGCCTGTCGAAGGTGTCCCTTGAGAAAGTGACGAGCATCCCAGGTATCACCCCGAAAGGCAGAGTTCTGAAAGGCATTGTGCAGAGGGCAAAGACATGACATGGGACATAGGAGCAGCTTCGGAACTGGTGTGATTTTACCGACTTGCCCATGCCAGATGGATCTCACCCGGGCTTCGTTTCACACGGTAGTTGGGCATGTTCAACGTGTGTTACGGCCTCATCAGTGTAGAATGCAGGGACATGCCCTGGCGTCCAACTTCCACGCCCCTTGCGTGCGACTCGAATTCTCTGCGCAAGCGACAAAAAACGCAGCAGGGACGGCCCGAGGGCCCGGAAAGGGCCCGGAAAGGCCAAGAAGGCCGCAAAAGCACCGGAGCCTTGTGCTTTTCCTCAGCCGTAACTCCAGGATCGCAGAGTGCCCCCCCTCTTTTTGCAAGCCCGTGAGCCATGGACAAAAAGCCATCCGTGGGCTATTTAGGTGCGGCATTCAGGCTGCAGACTATCGAAGATGGCTGGCGCAAAACGATGTCAAAGGTATGGGCATCATGGGCTCTGCCATGGCGTGAAGAGCTTAGAGCTTTCAAGACTTTCACTGAGCCAGATCATGAACGAAGCTGCCCTTGCTGGCAAGGGGTCGATTAGTCGATGCCGGCTACCCTGTTACAGTGTGGTGCATCCGGCTGGCAACTGCCAAGATGCGCAGTCTCAAGGAGGCTCTCTCTGCACCTGCCAGGAATCGATCCCGGGACAAGTGTGCTCCCTTAGAGGCAAAGGGCGCCAAGGCCGCCATGACCAAGAAGAGAAGAGGCGCCAGAAGCGCTGTAGTTCTGCCCCGCAAGGTCGCCGAGACTGCGCAGGAGGTCGTAGAGACCTGTGACGTGACTTTTGCGTTGGAAGCTCGGTGATTGTGTTGCCATCGGCTCTGCTCAGCTCCTGCAGGCATTTAGGTTTTTTGTTTAAGTTTATGGTTCCGGCTTTGTTCCGTTTGTCAGATGCGACATACTTGTGTCGTAAACGAAGGTAATAGCCTGACTCGTCGAAGTAGACTCCGGAGTCTTTGAGGAAGGTCGCTTGCTTTCCGGAACGCAGGGCCTTCGAATCTGAACACTCGTCACTAGTCTCCTCCAGCTTCGCCAACTGCAGTCTCCTTTGTCACATTATTTGCAGGCACAGCCCCCTCAAGACCCATCCGACACCGATAGTGCATTCGTTCGAAAGGCAGGTCCTTTCTGGCGCAGAGACCTGCTCCCCGAAGGATCCTGAGCTCTGGTTCCGAGTCCCGAGGTGCACTTCGGACCCCACCTCGGCAAGAGCCGTGGTGTTCGGGGAGAAAGGAGTTTTGGCAGGAGGGGACTCTCCGAGTGGGAGTGGACATGAGTGGACATGCGTCGAGCGTGTGCCGTTCGTGTGCAGGCATCACGAAGGGCAAGCGCTTCGTCGATATGTCTACCGTAGACGAGGAGACTTAGTGTCAAGATGTGTATGGTGGTGCAGGTTACGTGGACGTGTCTCTCTAGGCACTGTGCCCCGACTGCCAGGAATGTGTGAAGGAAATCGCCGCTGCCCCGTGCAGCGTCTTGTGCTCCTCGTGTGAACATCCTTGAAAGGCCGAGGCCATCACCGCGAAGGGCGGCAGGTTTGTTGAGGCACCGTGCTGTTTCTACCATGTCAAGTGCCTCTGTGCGGAAAGCTCTTGTCGCCAGGCACCAGTCAGCGGTTCCAAGGGTCCTGCGCTGCAAGGTGGGCTTTCTGAGCAACCATGTCTCCTTGAAGCTATGCAGATCACGAGTTTTCTTTTCGAGTTTCTACCGCAGTCAGGCCAGCTGGTGATCCTAGCAGCGGGCGAGGAAGCCCTCCAGAAGGAGGCAGGGCCAATTTGCGAGATTTACCCCAAAGGTCCTCTCCCTCACCCAGAAACGTTATGTTAACCGGGCAAAAGCTTGAGATCTAGCCTGTGCCGTAGATTCGAGACGCTTCTCCAGAACAGGTGCAGCCGTGCCTTGACGTCTTGGGCAAGAGAACGTTTTTCCTCGGGGAGGTGGAATTCGAGCTAGTGTAGCCTCAGCAGCCCGCCGCAAAGTTTGTAAGGCCACCTGAGTTCCGCGAGGTGGGATGTGGAGCGAGGATGAAGCTGGTCATCAACATGGCCGATGGCTGAGCTCGACTGTTTTGCAAATAGGCGCCAAGCCGAAAATCAAGAGACGCTGCTAGTGGCACCAGGTGATGGGTATCAACATGGTCGCTCTTTCTGAAGGTCTCGCAGCCTGCGCCCAAGCTCAAAAACAAGGTGACGGCGCCCGTGCGGGGCCGTATGTTCGGAGACATTTTGCTTGTGTTAGTGCGAGACGACGACGTGGCCAAAACTCGAGCGAAACGCGCATTTGGCATGTGTGAAGAGCTTCCGCACTTTCCCTAGAAGCTCATGCAAACTTATCACGAAAATGCATTGTCACTCGGCACCTGTTCGATTTTTTAGGGTTATTTTTTCGGTGGGTCTTGAGAAATCAAAGTTTCAGCATAATTTTTGCTTCAAAATCGTGCTCTCGCCACAGTGTGGACGTTTTCGCTGTAAGCATTTTGTGTTTTCGGAGGCCTTTTTTTGCAGAGAGTGTTTTTTTTGGCAATCGATAGCTTGAAGAAGAGAAGCTGCAAAATCGTGTTCTGGCCACCGCGCGGGGGCGTTTGAAACCTTTTGGCTGCCGCAAAGTCATGTTGCAGGTTTGCGTTGCTTACAGCCCGGCGGCCTTCTACAGATGGTACAGTAAGTCGTTCAAGCTTCTCCAAAAGTCCTTGAGAATGCAGGTACGCGGAAAGTTGGTGACTGCCTTTGCGTCCGAATATACGAACCTACGTTGTTGTATGACAGTACAGTATAGTTCTCGTGGTGTGCGGCCTAAGCCATTTCTGAAGAGCTTTATCTGACGGCGCCCTTCAGCCTTACAGCTTCTAGAAAAATCCTGGCTACTTTGCGTAAATGAAAAAGTTGTTGACTGCCTTTGGGCCCTAAGTCAGCGCTAGCCAGCCGGACATCCCTGCAATGCGTGGGCCAGCAAGAAGCTTCCATCATATGCGAGCTGCAAGCACAGGTCGGAAGCCACTTCAACTGTGTCAGCAACAACATCAGCAGCGTCATGCAACAGAATCTGCAGACATCCTTACCGCAAGCGACACCGTAATCGTCATCTTCATATCTGTGCACACCGTACGTCATTAAGCTCCCCCCAGTCCAAAAAGTGTTTGAACGCACGGCGCCGTGCGTGCGCCGCCTCCAAGAACAAGTTATCTCAGCAGCTGTGGGAGCCGGTTGACAGTCGCAACTTGCCGGAGGTGGGACAGAAAGCAGGCCTCCAAGGGAAGGATATCCTGGAGGAGACCTGCACAGCACGATAGCATAGTGTACTAGATGCCCTGCATTGCCCTGCCTGTGTTTCAGCGAAAGTTTAAAGGTCATCAAGGAGGGCGCCATTGCGTCGCCGATGTATGGCCTGAAGGTGGCTGTTCAGTTCGCATTCGGTGTAGGAGTGTAGGATGATTGAGAGGCTTGTTGAACGATGGGGTTGCAGGAGCGTTTGATGCATGTTCGCTGTTCGCACATCCCCTGGAATGGCTCACATGAGCGCATGAAGCTGCGCAGCTTGCACGCCGGTTCTGTGCGCAGGGCCCCAAAATGCTGGATGGAGACTTTGCTCCCAACTTCCCGCTAAAGCACCAGCAGAAGGCTGCTGTGTGCCCATTGCTTGTTGTGCTGTTGGTGAAGTGTGGGTGCAGCACCGTGTCGCACCGACTGGAGAGCTTCAGGACGTGAGATTGGCCGTGGATCTCGGTGACAAGGTAGGTCAGCTGGAGCCTCAGTCCGCCTTTGGCCAAGACTGATCGCCCAAAGAAGGTCTGCTGTTGCAGGTCGATGCCGCTGGCAGCTGCTGCCAACGAGGCTTTCAAGGCCAACGAGCTTGATCGTCGATGGCGTCTTTTCCTTTTGAGCCGGCGCATGGCCAAGATGCCGAAGTGTCAAATTCCCGAAGTCGCAGCCAGCAGCAGAAACAGAGACATGTCTTCGACTCAACGTGCTGTGCTCTAGCTAGAATTAGAGAGACAGAGAGCACGCTCTTGAAAACAGGTTGTGTACAGACTATTAGACTCCTCGTCGAAAAGTACGCTCCACGCGGAGAGGGATCCTTTAAAGCATGCAGATCTTTGTCAAGGAGGCCTGGCCTAGTATGAAATGGTGTAGTGGCTTGTCGTGCAGGCAGCTCGAGCCGCGGGCAAGGGAGAGGAGGCCTCGCCCCGAACACTTCAGCTTGATCCTTTCTGCTTGGCGTGCTTGCCTCCTTTCGGGGACTCCGTCGGAGTCGTCGTTTTTTCCGAAGCCACCACCAGAACAAGGACTTTTCAGCCGTGTATGCCACAGCCCGCAACTCAGCAAAGCAGGCCGAGGCAGGCCGAGGCAGGCCGAGGCAGCGCGTCAGAATGCCTACCAGGTGAACCGATGAGATGGGTTAATGAGCCGTTCTGACCTCGAGAACTGGCAGGTTTGGCCTGGTCAGGACAGCAGATGATGCATTTACTTGCACAGCTGGTCACAAGCACCACCGTTTCCATAGATCCTGCTTGGCTGCAGAGACATGTGGAAGAGCACGTCGCTGAAAAACGAAGTCGCCATCCGCCAAGTGCTCGAGCGACGCGTTTTCGCGTCACACTGAGACTTGCACAGTAGTGCCTAACCGCCAGGAGTTCGATTGCGTTCTGATGGTGCATGGCGAAACAGTACATTCTGCCGAAGCAAACATCCATTAAGCCATCAGTGGATTCTTTGCTGTCTTTGCATCGCCAGACTTGTTGAACTTGACTGCGCTGAATGCCTGTCTTTGCAAAGCTCGAAAAGCGTCGAAGCAACACTATTTAAGCCGGAGAAGCAGTTTCGCACTAGTGTCATCCGTGCAAATGCAGGTGAATGCTTGGGCCGTTTGCCTTGTGCAGTCTTAGATTTCAGCAGTTTATTGCAGGCTGGCACTGAAAAGAGTTCGTTTGCAAATCACCTTCAGGGACTAGTGAGCCAGCGAGGCTCATCCCAGCAGCCATGTGTCGCTGTGATCCGTGGAGGCGCAGGCCCAGTCAGGGGTCAAGCGATTCCTGTTCAAGGCGCAGCTCTTGGAATTGGCACACGCTTGTTCAGGTTCCACCAGGAGAGAGGTCAGCGGGGCCCTGAGCGAGCTCGGCTTTGGCATGGGGTGCGCAGCTTGTCGCGTTGAGATCCGGTGTTGCAAGGGGTGCCTACGCATCCCAGGCGTCTTCACATGGAGGTGCAGCTCCAGGCCATCAGCAGAGCCAACTCTGCACTTCAGTGCAACCTGAATTGGATGACGCTGCATAGCCACCAACTTCAATGCAAGTGGCTCGGCTGCGAGTCCAGCTGCTTGTGCCTTGAGGCTGTTTTGGGAGGACTAGCTGGCCGCATCTAAGGCTGCACTGCGCCAATCAACAGCTGGAGGATTGTACCAAGCACTGCCATCAGCTCGCCAGTTGGTTCATCCAAACAGAGCAGCACCATTGGCAAGACATGTGCCCCGGTGCGAATCGGAGGGCCCCTAAGCCCAGCCAAAACAAGAAAGAAGGAGTCGAAAGGCTCTGACATAATGTTTGAAGGGTTCTGAAGGAAAGCAAGAGAGGAACCCGGCTACTCTGAGGATATGGCTCCAATCCTTACTTTTCCAGGGACAGTTTCCTTGCAGGACGACGGTAACTGTAGTGGAATCATATCATCCAGGTCACCAACGAGAGGCATGGTGTAAGGCAAGCAGGTTCCTTTTGCTGCAATTCAACCCATCTCTCATTTTCAGCAGGAGGGTGCTTGCACTCGTTGTGTCTAGCCTCGTTGTGCGGCCCGGGAATCTGCTGCCAATAGCAAGCTTCACTCCATTCTTGCAAAGCTTGCGCTTTGGGTCGCGCTCGCTGCCTGTCACGGGGAGACTCCAGACATGGTTGCAAATGAGTGCGGTTGTTCCTGCACGGACTGTGGGTTGCATGTTAATATGCGCACTTGAACATGTGTGTTCTTAAGCTATATTCCTCGAGAGACCACTGAGCCATGGTTTTGCCCACAGCCCAAGCTTAAGTCGCCACGCGAAGGTCTGCTGAACTGCCCAGCACGGGCATCAATAGCAACGAGAACGACAGCTGTGACAGTGACGACGGCACCGACAGTGGCGGCAGCACTTGCGTGCCCCCGGAGCAGTGCGTGCTTTTCGATGAGGACACCCAGGATGGAGACTGGGTTCTTATCCCCGAGGCGGGTTCTGAGTTCTGGGGTCCTCGCACCGTGGTTCTCACAAAAGGCTGAACAATCTAGGCGGTCAGCTGCCACCCCCAGGATGCCCATGACGAAGAGCACCAGCTTGGTGATGACTGCACTGCTCGGAGCCTAGATCGACTGTGGTGCCAGAGAACAGACATGCAAGCAAGCAGCGGCAGAATGACTCGCATGAGCAAGCTGATGCATAGCGTCCCCCCCCATGATCCAAAGGCTTTCGTTTGGTTTGCGAAGTCATACACCACGCCTTGCGAACTAATTAGACGAGATTCTGAGAGAGTTACCGCTCATGCTCTGCCTTGTCTTGACATCGGCAGATGCTTGGCTGACTCTGTTGCTGTTGTTTGACGAGGTGAATGTCAATCTGACGATGGGTTGTTTGACGAGGTGAATGTCAATCTGACGATGTCTTCCGAAGACCGAGATACCCCAAGACGAGCTTCTCGGGCGTTTGAGTTGCCGAGAAGCATCGAGAGGACGCAGCTAATCTCTGACGGTGAGTCTGAGCGACCTGTCTTGACATAGTACTGCCAGGGGCCACAGCACCAGTCGTTGCTGTTCACTCACCAAGCAGTGCTCAGCAAGGTTCAGACGATCACAAGGTTCGTCACAGGAAAGTGGTCTGCGAGAAGATCGGATTGCGGCAGCTTGCCAGACGGACTTCGAGGACTGCGCTGCCCCTTGCCCAAAGCATCCACGGCTTCTTACGTGACACACACACAAACGCTCACATATGCATGCATGGGATTGATGTTGCAAACGGAGTCGGGCAACAGGTCCTCTGTTCGTTGCCGGAGAGCTCTGCGACGATGTGTTCCGACCGCCCGATGGCAGCTCGGCGCTCAATGGCAGGTCAGCAGCAGCTGAGCGAGCGCGAAGAGATGCCAAGAGACGAGTTGTAATTCTGGCTCAAGACCTTGACGTCATAAACCCCCCCGGCCTCCACCGGTCTTATGTCTCCGACCCGGGCGTGGTTTGCTTTTAGCTCTCCCACACCTGAGAGGGCGATCTTCTTCAAGCTCTGGCAGGGCGAACCCAGTCTACATTCCTAAAGATTCTTTGGCTCGCGACCCCAAGCTGAACAAGTGCCGAGTCCATTGATACCCCATTGGAAAATCTAACAGATTGCTGGGCCCGTGTGCGCCTTCGACCCGGATTTCAGCGTGTGTGTGTGTGTGCAGTAGACCCTCAAAACTTGTACGCCTTAGACTCTAGTCAGACCCCAGCCCCCTCCTAGGCAACTGGGGCACCGCGCTTCTAGTTGAGGCCTTGGCCAAGCCAGAAGATGCCGATGGAAGCGTTTGCACCGACCATGGGAAGCTGCTGATCGCTGCTGGCGAGTCTGAGCGACCCTCCTGGACATGGTACTGCCATCGTAGTAGCAGTGGTCGTGGCCATTCCTTCGACCAGCGGTGCCCAGCAAGGTCCACAGGATCACAGAGTTCGTCGCAAGACCGTCCGCGAGAAGACGGTGCTGCTTCAGCTTGCCAGACGGGCGGCGAGAACCGCAGAGCCTCTTGTCGCAAGGTCATGGCAAGTTCCCTCACACGTGTGCTGTGAACTGATGCTGCCCAGGTCGATAGTTCGTTACCGGAGACCTCGGCGACGATGTGTTCCCACTGCCCAACGGCAGCCGGGCATTTAAAGTCATGACTGCAGCAGCTTCATGACGAGCGGTTGCCAGGAGACTGTCTGATCAACCCCGGGAGCTCGCAGGCACCGAGGCTGGCGCTGGGGAATGCACCCCCTCCGACCTCCATCTGCACCTCGGCTCCTATCAGCGGCCTGCTCGCATTCCAGCGCAACGTGTTTGCCACAAGCCTCAGGCCAAATTTGTTGCCTTACCTGAGCGCGGCTTGATTGCGAAGCGGCCAGTGGCGGGGCTGTCGACAAGATATTGCAAAGACGTTTTGTAGAGATTCTCTGCGCAGCAAAGGTGCGGGAGTTGCTGAACTGGCGCGTGGTTTCGCGACGCACCAGAAGCCCCGAGGCCTGCCGTCTGGTTCCTCCCTCCGTCCTGCTTGGTGGAAGATTTGCATGTGCTGCTACCAGGTCTTGATACAGCATGTGGCAGAGATGGGCAGCACAGACAGGCTCGGACGGGTCCTGTCACATTCAACAAACCGGGAGGCCGCCCTTTTGCAGCTGCAGTCATGACACCTCGCACTGTAGTGGCAAGTATCCGTTTCTTCAAACGTAGACGGATGACGCTTTAGAGACACCTGGGAAAAGCCAAGCCAACCTGCTCCGAAACAGTGGGTAAGCCCTGCACCACTGACAACACATCTTCGCCTTCGCATGGCGAATATGCTCGCCTTCCTCACCTCACTCCTAATCTGGCACTTTATTGAGTTGGTCCCACCCCCTCCAAGTAAAGTACAAGTAGTACAGTAGTAGTAGCAGTAGTAGTCGTCGTAGTAGTAGTAGTAGTAGTAGTAGTAGTAGTGGTAGTAGTAGTAGTAGTAGTAGTAGTAGTAGTAGTAGTAGTACAGTAGTAGTACAGTAGTAGTGCAGTAGTAGTACAGTAGTAGTAGCACAGTAGTAATAGTAGTACAGGGTAGTAGTACATCAGTGGCACAGTTCCAGTGCAATAGAACTGTATAAGTAGCGCAGCAGTAGTACCGTCGTAGTAGTCGTAGTCGTCGTCGTAGTAGTAGTAGCAGTAGTAGTAGTAGTAGTAGTAGTAGTAGTAGTAGTAGTAGCAAGAGTAGCAGCAGCAGCAGCAGCAGCAGCAGCAGCAGCAGCAGCAGCAGCAGGAGTAGTAGTAGTAGTAGTAGTAGTAGTAGTAGTAGTAGTAGTAGTAGTAGCTGAAGCCTGAAAGCCCCCTTATGTATAGATGCACAGGTGGAGCCCGTGTATGTTCAGGAACCTTGCCGCTGACTGCAGACGGATGGCTCAGAGGAGCCGGAAGACGTGTTGTCAGCATGCAGTGCAGCCGTAGGCATGCATGTGCAGAACCCGTAGAGCAGGCTGTAGGCCGTAAGTAGGTGTGCACAGAAGCCCTATGTTGCTTGCTTTGCTGTGTGAGGAAAAGTTTGAGGGTTTCGCCCGCGGTTCCATGGCGGTTGGAGGTCCTTCGGGGATCATCCGATAAAACTGGAACGATACTTCTGAGAAGTCGCATACGGGTTATGTCATCGTCAGCTGAAGGGCTCGGTGCGGATGATCTTCAGGTGATGAGCCCAAACGTTGCCACTGAGCAGGAAAGACTGCCGCAGTCCGCTGACGTGACATATGGGTCTGTGGGAGGGTTGGTGAACGGTGTGGTTCCGGCCTCTCCTCAGATTGCGACGCAACCTTCAGAAGTCAGTGCGGGGGAGGTAAATCCTTCAAGGTCAGAAGCAGCTCTGGCCACTCAGGAGCAGGTGGATGCTGGGCATGAGATCCAGTTGGCTGCTGAGGCTCCTGTAGTTGGTCAGTCTGGAGTTCAAGGACAGGGTCAGGCTGCACTGGCTGCAACAGTGGCTCTGGAGGACGGAAGTGTGCATGGTGTGAGTGCAAACATGGAGGTTCAGCAAGGGACTTCCTCCCTGACGGTGGTGCGTTGGATTTCGCGTTTGAACGACTTCCTAGCCAACCAGGGACATGCTGTGTTTGGTTCAGTTGGGTTTAATACGACGCCTACTCAGGGGACCCGACATGCAGACTTAGAGTCACGAGCCACACAGCATATGCGAGCACCACATGCCACCCCTACCAGAAGCCAGCATACAGCAGCAGGAGCGGATGATGGGGTTTTCACAACGAGCTCCATGGTTGTACGGAAGGGGTTCGCAGGCGCAGGAGGATTCGACTACGGGGTCTTCGGAAGTTCAAGCTGAAGTGCAACGGCAGTTGGAGGTGTTGATGAGGACGCAGTCAAGCCAGCTTGAGGAAATGAAGGATGAGCTCATGTTCCTAAGGGCTGAGAGGACTCGTTTGTTGAGTGGTCAACACGCTCAGCTACCAAGAGGTGACGATGGACCCCGGCGCCAAGGTGATCCACGTATGGTGCCACACGCCCAGCTACCAAGAGGTGACGATGGACCTCGGCAACAAGGTGATCCGCGTGTGGTGCAACAGGCTCAGCTACCAAGAGGCGACGATGGGTCTCGGCAACAAGATGATCCTCAGGTGTTTGTGCGAGCTCAACCGACAAGAGGAGGTGGCGGGCCCCAGCGTCTGGGCGAACTGGATGGACTTCAGCCTCCTGTTCATTCAGGGGATGTGCACTTGGCTACTGGGGTTGTTGAGTCGTCTGGTCGTCAGCCTCCGGGTCTTCAACATGTGGGTAATGGTAATGGTGGAGACATTGGAAAGGAATGTTCGTCAGCGCGTTGGTGTTGCTCCAAGTGATTCCCAATCCATGGCTGCACCTCGAGGTCCTCCTACAGTGTATGGTCCCAGCATAAGTGCAACTCAGTGCGAATCCGGAGGTGCTCAGGGCGATGTTCCTATTGGGCCTACAGTTGCCGTCCAAGGAGCCGAACCACTGGTGGCAGCGATGACACCGAGCGAAAGACTTCTGGAGAAACTCGCTGAGGGCATCCAACAGCTGCAAAGGGTTCAGATTGACCACCTCGAGAAGGCGGAGCGGAAGAAGGATGATGAGACTCCTGAGCAGTGTAAGCCTGGAACAGCGAGCTTGCCAATGTTGCCAATGCCGAATGGTAACGAGAGTGCGGTGGCTTTGCAGGACTGGATTGAGGTCATCGATGGTCCTCTTCGTGATGTTTCTGATAGCAGCTCGTGGTGGTGGGACGCTGTCAAGAAAAGGGCTCAAGAGAGCTACCAGAGATGGGTGGCTTCGGGGCCCTACGAGCGCTTGGCATTGAAGCCACCTACGGCGGAAGATCTGGAGAAGGGCCGCTACTCGAGGCTGAGTGCACGGACGGCAGGTATGATGCTTCAGGCCATGGCAGAATCAGTTCGCGCTGAGATGGTGGCACGGGCAATCACAAGATCTCCTGTGGCCCTGTTGTTCAGACTATACACGATGTATCAGCCGGGGGGCGAAAGCGAAAAGGCCTACATCCTCCAGTATCTGGTGACGCCGCCCAAAGCCCAGACCGCAGCTGAAATGGTTTCTGTTCTCCGACAGTGGGAAAGGATGCTTCTGCGGGCAGATAACCTGAACATCGCCAAGCCCGATCCTTCGCTGTTAGTTCGAGGACTGAACTTGTTGGTGGCAGAGCTGTGGGCCAAGGACCGGGATGTCACATTTCGAACTCAGCTGGTGAAGAGCAGACTGGGAGTGGATGTGAGTCCGACATGGGAGACGGCGCTTCAGCTACATCAACATCTACGAGCCGAAGCGGAGAACCTGGTGAATGGCCTTCCAACGACTCCGAAGACGGGAGCCTGGTGATGGGCAACGTGATCCAAAGCTACGACCGATGCAGGCGGGGACACCGACTCCATCAAAGCCTCCGAGTACGACTCCTACGCCAACGGGTACTACGACTCAGGGTGGTGGTGCTGCAGAGAAAAAGTGCAAGTGGTTCACCGAGCCTGGAGGGTGCCGACGAGGAGCCAGCTGCAAGTTCGTTCACTCGTTTGAAGGTATCTCCAAGAAGAACCGCTGTTATACCTGCGGCGCTGAAGGCCATGTGTCGAATGCCTGTCCAACGAAGGCGGACACTGGGGACATGAGACCAGATGGTCTGAAGCCGCGGCCCAAGCCAAAGCCGAAGAGCGCACCAACGACCCCTACGGCAAGGGATGATGCTGCTAAGGCTGGAACGGCAGCGGCGAGATCTATGACTGCAGAGCCAGAACCTCAGCCGTCGCCTCCGACGTCACCTACCACAACCACTGAGACCCAGTCCGCAGCGGCTACCGGTGAAGTGAAAGAGGCCTTGCGGGATGCTGCCCGAGCCTTGAGGTCTTTGATGAGTTCGGGTTCAACTACGGCGTCGTCGACTACTTCTACGCTTGAAGGACTTCAGCGACAGCTTGATGAGTTGAGGCTCAAGGCAATCAGGGTGGATGAGGAGGTTGCGGTCATGAAGAAGACTGAGCGGACTCCACTTGACGAGCGCGTGAACGACGACGCAATTCCAACCTTGATTGATTCCGGTGCCACCCACATCCTGAGACAACCTCGTGATGGTCAGGAGCTTGCAGCAGCCACTAAGGTGTCTGTCACCTTGGCCAATGATGAGCGACGTGATCTACTTCAAGCTGAGTCCGGAGCTATCTTGACAACTTCGCCGGGTACACAACCGATATTGCCAATGGCCGAACTGGTGAGTGCAGGTTGCGAGATCAGTTGGAAGCGTGGTGTCTTCAAGGTGATTCATCCAGTTTGGGGTGAACTGAGGACTTCGTTGCGCGGCGGGTGTTCGGAGCTGGCGCAGGAGCAGGCAGCGAAGCTGGTGAATGACATTGAGACGAAGAAGCTCAATGAGTTCAAGGAGGGTGTTTCAATGCTGAAGTCGAAGCTGGAACACTTGGCCCATGAGGAGAAGTTGCCATGGACGGGGTACGTGATGAGGTACCTTGTGAGTGGTCAGGCTAGAGACTAGAGACCTTTGGAAGGCGTTGCAGGGATCCTTCATGAAGTTTCTTCCAGAGCGACTTCTTGATCCTGTTTGTCGCGGTGTACGATTGGACGCAGGATGGGATCGCTTGAAAAGTTTGCCTTGTCCCAGGAGGATGCGAAAGCGGATGCTGGAGTCCAGAAAGTGGATAGTACATGTTCCGGGTCACCGAGACGACGTGCCTCTTAAGCCAGAGGCATATGGAGAGGATGCGGTGCTGGTGACGATCTCTGGAGAGCTTCCTCTTCCAGTCTATGAGGCTCTCTTATGGGGAGCGGCTACAGGGAGGATTGCTGCGGTTGTGGGATCTACTCCGGGAACATCTATGTGCAAGGAGGAGCAGTCGCTTCGTACAGCCAAGGTGTTGGGTTTGTATGTTGTGGGAAGACTGGCAAGATCCACCTCGAGAACAGGCTTCTTCTGGTCAGTTCCGAAATCGGGTGGTGAGGACTACGTGAGCAGGTTGCTAAAGGAGTTCTCTGAGGCCGCGTCGATGAACCAGCTTGACGTGAGCCGAAGTCCCTCAGAGGGACAGCCGAAGTTCACTATGATGGCCGTGACAAACTACCGTGTGAGGAGCCCTGATGTTCCAAGTCAGTCTGAGGAGGGGGCTGAGAAGGTCGTCCTTCCTGGGTGGTCTACAGCTTGGAGGCTCGAAATAGCAAGGGCTGTTCGGGAGGAGGAAACCAAGGACAAGTCGGTTCCAGGCTCGGGATCTCTGAAGGCTATGTCTCCGGAGCAGTGGAAGGAGCACGTTCGAGCTGGACATTATCCGGCCCGACGAGATTGCCTACAGTGCGTGACTCATGGTGCCACAGGACATCGGCATGCTCGCGTGGAACATCCTTCATTGTTCTGCTTGAATGTCGACATCACGGGGCCTTTCAGGACAACAGGAGAAGATCCAAGTGCTCGTGGTGATCGGAAAAAGGCTGCGAAGATGAAGTACTTGTTGGTCGCGAAGTTTACCCTGCCGAAGTCCTATGTTACGGGTGAGTTTGAGCCAACAGGAACGGATCCACCAGATGAGGAATTGGGCCACAAGGATCTGTTTGATGAAGAAGATCGAGGCGATGGTCATGATGTACCTACTGATGATCTGGTGGGTGACTTTCGAGATGAAGAGTTTGAGGCCGATCCCTGTGATGATGGGGGTGGTGTTGGCGATATTCCTTTGGATGTGAAGCCTCCAGAGAACGCAGTTCCAATGGACATCGAAGCACCGGAGGCCACCTATCTGTTGTTTGCGGAGCCGCTCCTCAATGACAAGGGAACATCTATAGCGTCGGCGATTCAGTCGATCGTGTTGTACCTGCAGAGCTTGAACATCCCTGTGCTGAGGTTTCACAGTGACAGGGCGGCACAGTTGACCTCGAGGCCTCTTGTACAATGGCTTCATCAGCAAGCTATCAGGACGTCTACCAGTACCCCGAGTGTTCCTCAAGAAAATGGTGCTGCTGAGAGCGCGGTCAAGGAGCTGAAGCTTTCTACAAGGAAGATTTTGTCAACGTCGGGTTTGGACAAGGGATTTTGGCCGGTGGCAGCGAAGGCAGCTGCTTCAATGCACAGGGCGAGGGTGTTGAAGCAAGTTTCACGGATGATGGCGAGTTTTGGGGCAAAGGTCTTGGTGAAGAAACGGAGGTATGCAGCTTCTGGTGCTCTGATCAGATTGGAGTTCGATGAGCGGTGGTCGGAAGGCATCTACTTGGGACTTGGGTCTTTCTGATCAAGTGGCGAATGGACATCTTGTCGACGTGGACGGGATCTTTGCTCACGCAAGGAGTGTGAGGGACAAGGCGAAGCTTGTGGACGCAGCGGAGGACTACGTGAAGGATGATGCAAGGCCACTTGAGTTTGAAGGGGATGCAGAGCCTCCTTTGAGGAAAAGGAGAATTCATGGGAAGTCATCGCCTCGGGTTGCTATGTTGGACGGTGAGTTTGGTCCGGAGCTCTGTGATGATGAGATTCCAAGCGACTATGAGGAGGACTTTGATGCGGCCAAGATTCCCCGTGAACAGGATCAAGATGTACAACCTCGCGTGGCAGTCCTTAGTCAGCCGATGAACTCAGGACCGTATGATGATGATGTACACAGCGATCAGGAGGATCTACAGAATCCTGAGGACTACGCTAAGGAGATCATCTATTCCGAAGAGGATGTCACGGAGGAGGTGATTGAGAAGTTGTTCGAGTTGCTTCCAAATCAAAGGTTGCCACGACAGACTGAGGACCATGGTTCAGAGGGACTTTCTCCAAAGGCCTGGGCTTCGGGAGTATACCGACATGGTGGGGTGCTGGGAGTGATCAAAGGAGTTTCCCTATGCAGCCAGGTTGGTGAATCAGTTCATTCGTACAGTGCTTGGGGCGTCGGCTACATGGTCTACTTTTTCCCTTCATCGGAACCTCAGTGTGAAGAGACATCGAGACTCCCACAATGCCCGCGACGAGTTGTCCTACTTGATCCCTATCAGTGATTTCAGACAAGGTGGTCTTTGGACACAAGCAGATATTGGTGAAGTCATTGGCGATGATGAAGTGGTCATTGTGGATGGGAAGCGTGGACGTGTGAAGCCTTTGCAGTCCGAGGAGGGGACTAAGGAGGTGGTGTCATTCAACCCAAGGCGGTGGCATGCTACGATGCCATGGACTGGCGATAGACTGGTGTTGGCGGTATACAAGGTTCGTGGGCTGAACAAGATCAAGGCCGCTGATGAGGACGTTGCGTTGGACTTGGGGTTTCCTTTGCCGACAAATGACGCGGAGAGTCCAAGAATGTGCAAACTCCTTGGTCAAGAAGGTGAACAGCCTGGTCCGGAACCACAGGAGGAAGTCGAGGTTGAGCTGGAGCCAGTTGAGGATTTTATGTACATCCGCATGTCTGAGGAGGAATGGAGGACCACGATTGAGCGGTACGGCGCGGATCACTATGTTGCAGAGATGGCTACGAGATGGCGTCGTATTGAGCCGGAGGAGGGCAACTTGAACTCAGTGATTCCAGCCGCCATTGCAGCGGACATCGACAGGGATTGGGTCAATGCTCCAAGTGGGACGTATGCTGGGGACAAGGGACAAGGACTACGCGGATCCCGGACTATGACCCAGAAAGGCTAAATTCGAGCTTTCTCAAGGCGTGCAAGATCTACAACATGGTCACCAGTCGCAGACGGGTGGTGGTTCATCAAGTCCCGCCTGCAGATCAGCGCCATGCATGGAGAGGTCAAGAGGAACAAGGACCGCCTGATCGTGATCACAGGGGTAGGGTACCCTTCTTGGCAGTAATGTCGGTCAATGACTCGGGAGGATTGTTGCAGTTCGTCGAAGTTGATGAGGAGGAGCTGGGCAATGACGAAGCTCGGATGATGAAGGCGGCTACTCCAGAGACCCTGTACACCCCGAACATTGAAGAACTGTTGGCTTCCGTCTCTGCCGAAAACCCTCTGAAGGTCACCCACACTGTTGATCCTCGTGAAGTACTACCCGTTGTGGAAAGATGGATCCCAGCCATGAAGGCTGAACTAGATGCCCTCGAAAAAATGGCTGCTATAAAGAGATGCACTGGGAAAGAGGCGGAAAGGCTTCGCAAAGACCCAAACGTGATTGTGGTGCCAAGCAAGCTGGTGTTTACACTCAAGCCAGGCCTGGAACCTGGACAAGTTCGCCGCAAAGTCAGGGGTGTTGCGTGCGGAAATTTTTCTGGGGAGACAGCCGAGGAGCTTGGTAACGTATATTCAGCTGGGGCCACAATTGATCTGGTGAGACTTTGTTTGGCAGAGGTCAATGCAAACCCAGGCTGGATTGCAGCGACGGACGACGTGAAGACAGCTTTCCCACGAGCCCCGATCCCAGAGTTGCCGAATGGCCGAAGGTATGCTATGGAAGCGCCGAGGGCGATGATTCGGGCCGGCTTGGCAGAGCCGGGAGAGTTGTGGTGGGCAACCGCTGCAGTATATGGGTTTCAGAGGAGCCCGAAATGGTGGTCAGAAAATAGGAATGCTACGACGGCAAAGGCGAGATGGAGTTCACCAAGGTCTGGATGGATGAGGATTGTTCCATGCGTGACGGACGAGAATCTCCATAAGCTGATTCAGGTCGATGACACGGGCCAGGAAAGGATTGTCGGCTACATTTTGTTCTATGTCGATGATACCCTTGCAGTTGGACCCCCGGACTACGTTCACAGTTTCTACGACTGGCTGGAGGCTACTTGGGAAACCAGTGGACGTGAAGTGGTTTCAAAGGACACTGTCGTTCGCTTTCTCGGCTTGGAGCTTTCTCTTCAAGAAGATGGAAGAATGAGGGTTGCCCAACGAGGTTACGTAGATGAGCTCTTGAGGTCTCAAGGAGTGGGCTACGGATGAGGTTCCAGCAGATCCAGATCGCAGTCCCGCTTTGATCAAGGAGGCTCAGCAGAGGTGCGGTGAAATCCTCTGGACGACCCAGAGGACTCGTCCAGATGCTTCGTACGCTGCGATGATGATGGCCAGATTGACGACGAGATGGCCAGAGAGATCCATTCAGATCGCGAAGAAAATCCTTGCCTACTATAACAGCACGAAGGATGCCGCGTTTATCATCGAGAAGGAGCAGCCGTCCAAGCTGGTGATGTTCAGTGACGCCTCACACTCTCCGGCGGGGGCAAAGTCCATTTCAGGAACCTTGGTGATGTGGAAGGGACTACCCATATGCTGGCGAGCGGAGAACCAGGGACTGACGGCGTTGAGTAGCGCCGAAGCTGAGCTTATTGCTTTGAGCGAAGGGGCACAGCTACTTCGTTCCGTGAAGACGACCCTGGAGGACATGGGCATCAAGCCAGAGATGTCAGAGCTTCGGGTCGATGCAACGGCGGCGATTGCTGTGGCGAGCTCAGGTGGGAGCTGGCGGACAAGGCACCTACGACTACGTGAAAATTGGCTGGTTGAGCTCGTGAACTCCCAAGAGTATGTTCTGATGCACCAGCCGGGAATTGAACAGTTGGCTGATGGGTTGACAAAGCAGTTGGCTTCGGATCGTGCCTGGAAACTACTGCAGGCGTGGAGCTTCTACAAGGGTGGCACTCAGCCTGAAGTCAAGAAGGTGAAGATCGCAAAGGTCGATGGTGAGTGGGAATCCGCAGCAGCCTCCGCAGCAGCACAAGCCACCATACCCTGCACAACAGCCATAAGCAACCAGCATGAAGGGACCCTGAGTAGGTGTACCAAGGTTCTAGTGGGGTTGGGGTTGGTTGCTGGAGCTTGGGGAAGTGACACTGGGAGCCATGAGATGTACACTGGTGTGGATTCAGAGCATGAGCTTTGGGTTGCAGTGTTGTTGGTGATGGTGACCACTATTTTTTCTGGGAGTGGAGCAAGCGGGCTGCTGGGGGTGTCAAGAAGGCAGTTAAGTTGAAGATGTTTTCGTCGACTTCTACACCGAGGTTGTCCAAGGCCGAAGGGAAGGAGCTGTTGATGTTTTTGGGCTTGGAGGAGCGATCAATAGAGCAGGAGGCGAGGCTGAATGCTTTGATAGGCCGCTACCAGGTTCAAGATCGAGCACTTCCAGGCCAGGATGGGACTACAGGACCTACAGTCAGGGGACGAACTGCTTCGACTACGAGTTCTTCAAGGCCTTCGATTCCAAGTACGGAGAGGTTTCAGCCTGAGCGCTGGAGCAGAGCAGTACAGACAGATCCGGAGCCTGAGCTGCCAAAGGGATCTATCACGACTTCTACAGTGGATCCGACGATTCGCTATGTGACACAGCCGTGGGAACATGATCTGTTCGTGAGTCCGAATGGAGATCGCATGCACTTGCGACCAGACTGCCATGGACTGCGCAATGCCTCGAGGACAGCTCGGAAACCCATGTGTCAGTATTGTCTGAATGCCTGGCGAAACCATCCCGACAACATACGAGGATGAACCACAAGCTTTCAGGCAGCGATGGAATGTGATGGCTTCCCTTGCGGGAGCATCAAGGAGGGGTGCTGAAGCCTGAAAGCCCCCTTATGTATAGATGCACAGGTGGAGCCCGTATATGTTCAGGAACCTTGCCGCTGACTGCAGACGGATGGCTCAGAGGAGCCGGAAGACGTGTTGTCAGCATGCAGTGCAGCCGTAGGCATGCGTGTGCAGAACCCGTAAAGCAGGCTGTCGGCCGTAAGTAGGTGTGCACAGAAGCCCTACGTTACTTGCTTTGCTGTGTGAGGAAAAGTTTGAGGGTTTCGCCCGCGGTTCCATGGCGGTTGGAGGTCCTTCGGGGATCATCCGATAAAACTGGAACGATACTTCTGAGAAGTCGCAGACGGGTTATGTCATCGTCAGCTGAAGGGCTCGGTGCGGATGCTCTTCAGTAGTAGTAGTAGTAGTAGTAGTAGTAGTAGTAGTAGTAGTGGTAGTAGTAGTAGTAGTAGTAGTGGTAGTGGTGGTAGTGGTAGTGGTCGTGGCACCGTGGTGGTAGTAGTTGCGTGAGGGTTTGGTCTTGATGTTCCGTATAATCGCTCACCTCACCGAGCTTTATGTTGTGATGTGACGCCCACGATTGGATAATGACTCCCGTTCCCAAAGCATTCACCCTCGGTCCGCTTTTGCTTCTCGCACTGCTGGTCGAGGTGTCTGTGCAAGGGGGCAACACACAATGGCTGGCAACTAGCACGCAAGTGTACGTATGCTAATCGATTTACTTCAAGCTCTTTGAGCTTTCGGCCTTGAGCCCAACGTTCGCCGGAGTCAACATTGGATAGATCATGTGGCAGCACAAGGCTCTCCACATGTCTCTCATAGGTCCCTGGCCCTAGTACGGTAGCGCAGGGCTCACCGTACGCCGCGTGAAGAAATTGCACTAGGCTTCGAGGTCTCTTCGCACCCCCCATGAGTGAAGCTTTGAGCTTTACTCAGCCATAGGAAGAGAGTCGCAGGACCTGAAAAGAAACAAAATACTCGACGGCGATCGTCTTAGCATTGTGTGTTAAGATGCCCAGTTAAACCCTGCGGGAGACATAGCTGCGTCGACTGCGATCCCCTGTTTCAGTGAGAAATGAAAGGATGCATTCATCGAAGACATATGCGCGAAACGTGGTGCATTCAGCCATGTCCAGCGTGTGAAGTGGTAATCGACGTGGTCGGCAATGCGCACATAGAAGCTCACTCATTGTAGTTACGGTAGTCCCTGTCATATTGGTATCCTGAAGATGATTCTTTAGACCGCCGGTCATAAGCTCGCTGATTGCGTTGCCACCGTTCTTGTTGTCGTTGCTGCGGAGGAGGAGGAGGCCCTCGGGGTTCTGGAGGATTCCGAGGTCGTGCGCCGGCTTTGGCCCGACGTTCTGCCTCTACTTCGGCGGCTTCCTCGTGAGTGACGGGTGTATCCATGATGCCTCTTTGCCCTTCCCGAAGATAGCTTGTAGGGAAATGATTGATGGCTAGGGCATTCCTGGACTGAAGGGCTTGCATTCTGCTGCACGTTAGCTTGTTGATATACCTGGCCTGCTTTTGAATGTCCATGTCCACCATCAAAAACAGGAGAGTTCGTCAGCAATGTCCAGGACCATGCCTCATGACAATACCACAAGGGCCACAAGGGTCAACGCATAACACATGCCTGTACGTGTGCTGGTGCACCGGTTGTAGCAATGTAAATTGACTGTAGCCGGTGACCTTGCCAATGATCTTCGACAACATTGCGTAGCAGCTGGAAAGCATCTGTGTCGCCTCTTCATTCTGGTCGTCACGCATGTGAAAACGAGGATCGAAATGTTCCCTCCGATGTCCAAGTTGTACTGCTCCCCTGCTCGGGATGGGCTTAGCCGTGTCCCGCACTTCATTCGTAGCTTCGGCGTCCGCTTGGCGCTCCACGCGCAAGGTAGCGGTTTTCCAGGCCACCACGACGCCGGCAGCCTGTGCCCGTAGCTTTAGCGAAGCTGACGGGTCTATCGAAAAAGAGTCTTTTAGCATCTGCTTCAAGTCGGCTTCGTCCGTAGCGGAAGCAGCGAACTTGGCGATGCTGTCGATACCGTTCTGGTATTGCTCGCACTTTATCTCGTCTGACACCTTGTGGTGCACTAGCAGAAATCGTAGCTCGGAGCCACCTAGCACCAGCTTTTTGGCTAGCGCTTCTGCATCAGCGGCCGTGGTGGCAGGAAAATTTAGCAAGGAAAAAGGTTCTGCAATATCGCTAGAACGTAGCTGTGCTGTAGAGCGTGTGAGAGTGTGCTAGCAAAATCGAGGTAAGAGCTGTAGCGGCGCGGTCGGGCGTCGGCCGAGCTTAGCATGTGGCCCGCCCCCGGCCCCGGCCCCAACCCTTTCCCCCGGCCTCCTGCTAGCGGGCGGTCCTCCTTCGTCTCACTCTAGCGCTCCCCTTCTTTCTGGACGGACAGAAGCTACCTACTACCTAGCACGACTGCAGAACATGTAGCATGGCTGGGCAACCTGTAGCGCCTGCTTAGCGGCTCCACTGCGTGGTCAGCCTCTTTTCCTTCTAGCCGTGGCCCCGGCTCTCGGTTGTAGCGGGGGCCGCTTTGCTGCCCCATGTAGCGACGACCGCCCGCCCTGCTAGTCTTTGCAGCAATCGCAGAGGTGGGCGTCGTGGTCGTCTACCACATTCTGCGATTGCAGGGTCTGTGCCTGCAGGAAGGGTAGACAATAGCGCAACGAAAAATAGCGTTGTCAGGGTCCCAATGCCCTATCGCTGTGCGTATAGCGGCTCGTCCATGGGGTCGAAGTAGCATCCCCTTGGCAGCAGTTCAGTAGCGATCTTCAAGGCCCGGGAAGAAGTAGCGGGGGGGGCTGCAGACTAGCTGGCGGTCCGCCTCCCCAAGCTCCACCACGTCCGCATTGCAGCGGCGTTCCAAACAGCGCGCTTGGGTAGCACTCCTTTGCCTTTCCCCTTAGTTGGGCCCCTGTGCGCCTAGTGATTTGTTCCAGGAGCCTAGCGGCCACAGGTCTCTGTCGATAGCGGCCCAGGTCAAGTCTAGCGTGAACTGGCCTTTGCCCTGTGGCTTAGCGTTGGCCGGGACGGTGTAGCGCGTGCCTCGGCAGAAGCTAGCGGAGGGCGAGATCAGATACTGCAGTGCCCACTTTCTCAGTTACCGCAATACCCCGAGGAGATAGCCAAGTTCACAACCCGATGTATCTTGTGCGCGCAGATCATCAAGGTCACCGGTCATGTGAAGATACATTGGCAATCCACTCACAAAGAAGCGTGGAATCAGGCGCAGCAGGATGCTTCCTCCAGTGCACGCAGCCTGAAGGTATCCTTCAAGAGGCCTTGTCAATATTGCGGGAGCGCAGCTAAGCATGGAACTACGGACTCCACCCATCATGCCACCAAGTGCTCGCCAATGTTCCAGGTCTTGGCAGCTAGAAAACTCCATGCGGATGGTGTACTTGAGCAGCAGCAACACCAATATAAGACCAAAGAACGTACAGGCATTCTTGCTCTCCTGTGCCAGAAAGTAGAAAGCAAGCCCGACAATCGTGGGGAGTTGGTGCCTCAGCAGCGACTTCAAGCAAATGATGCACTTACGACCTCTACCACCACTCACTGTCATCCTCAGCCTAAACAGGTACCGGCGATGGCAGCCGAAGCCTCAACTGTACGAGGCCCGGAACAGCACGAGGAGAGTATAATGCGGGTGAGACTTCGTAATCCACACAACCTGTGCTACATGAATGCTGGTACGATTGCTATGGTTCATGCACTACAAGGTACTGATGTGCCGAGAGCTCTTCAGCTCCTACAAGACATTGTGCTGGGCGCTCAGGACATAGAGATCACCTTGTCCACGCACTTTGGCCTGCGTAATCTGTTTGCTGGGTGGAGCCTGGACAATAGGCAGAGGGACGCGGCTGAGTTCACTCAATACGTGCTACACAAGGCCGGTTATGTGCCGGTATTCTGGGAGGAGAGAGTTATGGGTCGTGGCGTTCACCAGGTTACTGACGCCGGCGGCGGAATGCTGTTTATGGACCTGCCCAACTCAGTGTGATCTTCAAGAGCTTGTGAGCGCGTGGTCCGACCAGGCACACACAACTGCGCTAGTATCGGTGCCCGAAAGGGTAGTGGTGCAGCTGGGCAGGTTCCCACATCGCGGCAAGTCCCACGTTCAGGTTCGGTTCCATCAGCAAGTGCGGCTGCCTATTTCCACGAGCGGTGTTGATTGTCATTGGGAAGATTTTCACGCAGTGGCAGGTCTGGTTCACTATGGAAACAGTCCCGACTCTGGAGAGCAGAGGGAAGCTGGTGGCTGACTGATGATTCTACGGTTGCAGTGCCCTGTGAACCTGGACCGGAGCTTCGCAGGGGGATCTATGCAGTCTGGCTCAAAAGAGGACCCATTCCCGACGCAGGGAACTAGATCACGATCCTTGGGACAGGGTGGCGGAGCAGCTGGACATTGCCATGGAGCAGGAGGAGGAATTGAGGATTTGGCAGGCCTTCAAGCAGGCGCCCCCTACGGATACAACGTGGAAGAAGGAGGAGGAAGATGAGCTGGCCGCGCTTCGCATGCTAGTAAATCAGCTGGCCAAGCTTTGCCTTCGACACGAGGACTCGGTGAACATGTGGCGGGCCGAGAGCTCCTTCGTGTTGTTCGTGCGGACAGGGATCCCTGGAAGCGCCGTCCTTGTTTGCCGCCAAAACGGCGTGGCAAAAGCTACGCGAGGAAAGCCCGGAGAAGGTGAGGCGACCCGTGCGCAACATCCTCTTCAGCTGCTTGCTTGGTCAAGGAGATGCACGACAGGTTGACGCTTTTGCGCAACGATGCGCAGCGCCGATCCAGCATGGAGAAGCTTGGATGGTTGAAGGGCGAGGACTTTCAGCGCCTGCGTTGGGACCCCAACCTCAAGCGGAATGTCAAGGACGAGGAAACCTCGGTGATCTCCTACGAGGACGTGCTAACGGTGCTGCAGTCGATGATGCAAAGGAGCAACATGGTGGAGGCCTTGCTCCGATTCCACCCTACAAGGCCGCTGGCGGAGCAGATGCAGGAAGGAACGGTGACATTCCTGTTGCAGTTTTCGCTGCATAATGAAAGCGGCTCCAGCTGTATGCTGACATGACTCAGCTGTGCCACTGTGGTTCCACAATGGTCTGTGGCATCGAGATCAAGAAGGAGAGGAGCAGTCGGAGCCAGCTGGCAAACCAGATTAGCCGCCTCCTCGGCGATATGTAGTCGGGTGCAAGCCCTGGATGGACCAGACTGGGGCCGTGGATCGACGCGCTTGGCACTGTCGGTGCGGCGTCGAGTGTTTTGACAAAACAAGGGAACAATCTTCAGCTCCCGGGGGTAAGTGTCTGGAAGTCGGCGTACAGCTGGACGGATGACTGCCCCGCTCAGTGAACGTTTCTCTCATTTTGCCGGTTGGCCACAAAAGCTGCGCCAGCCGTTGAGGGACCTTCCCAGTCACAAGGCATGCCGAAGGAGCAGTCTGAAAAGTTCGATGTCACGCAAAGATGGCCTAGCTGCTTGAAGATTTAAATTTTGCAGAACAGCGAGATTCGTGCACGCTGAGGTATCCATCTATCTCTGGAGATCGGCTTACTTACGCTCCATCCTCAGCATCTACTGCGCCCTGGTTTGAGTTGCCTCCGAATACATGTGTTCGCGAGCTTCTCATGACTACATGGCCGTGCTCGGGCTCAGCAATGTGCGAAGGGGTTGAGCCTATGGATGTGCGACTACAATGAGGGGACTGCATGCGTTCTTCCGCTCTAAAAATGATCGTGTCTCGAGGTGCTACGGCCGAATGGCCCATGCGCAAGGATGACACGCACAACTCGAGATTGCTTGGCAGCATGATTGGCCCAAAACTGTTCTGTGAGAGTGTAGGCCCCCCAGCTAAATTATTTCACTATGGTAGCGGTGTAAGTGAAAGACGACGTGCGAGAAAGCTGATTGAAGATGGATCCGCAAGATCCGTCAACACCTGCTGGGGCACCGAGTGTAGCTCAGTTTTTGCAGCAAGCGGGCATTACATCGCAAGAGGAAGTGGCCAATCGATTGTTGGCCATGCAGCAGCAGATAGACAATCAGGCTCAACAGCAGCAGTCGCAAGTGCAGTTTCAAGAAGCTGTTGCGACGATGCGAGCTTTGCAAGCTCAGCTCAGTGATGCTATGTCTAGAGTGCAGGCGGCAGAGCAAGAGAGGAGAGATGCATTGAGGGTTGCAGCAGCGGCAGTAGGCAGTGATGCAGGCAACTTTCAAGGAGGCATCGTAGATAGCAGGGGCGTTGGTCAGCCATTCAAGTACAACGGTGGGGCTGATCAAGATTTCAGCGAATGGAGTCACAAAGTCACCACGTACCTGAAGGCCAAGTTCGGCTTTGAAGTAGAAAAGGCTTTGAAGTGGGCAGTACAGCAGCGAAAGACCGTTGTGGAACGTCTCCCAGGGGGGGCGCTTGCCAGCACAGACGGCCGCCAGATTGCGTTTGATCCTGTCTACGGAGAGCAAGCAGATGAAATGGACCGCATTCCCAATCTATCAAAGACCGTCGTTGGCATTTACACTTACCTGATCGCCTTTACAACAGGAGATTCCAACAAGATTGTGCGCAATGCCGGGTCCGATGCTGGATTGGAGGCCTGGCGACGGCTCCACAATGAGTATGACCCAACCTCGGCGATGCGACGCGTCACCATTCTGGGTCTGGTTCAGAATCCTCCCAAATGCGAAAAGATCGAGAACTTAGGCTCCGCACTTGAGGACTGGTTGGCCAAGAAGCGCCAGTACGAGGAGTTCACAGACCAGCGAGGAAGGCCATGTCGCATTTCAGATGACTCCCTCATGGCAGCCATGTACAAACTCATGCCTACATCCTTGGAGCAGCAGGTCATGTTCCATTCAGATGAGCACGACAGCTTTGAGGATCTCTATGATCGTTTGGTGGCCTACGCGTCAACGAAGCATTCGTTGAAGATGACGGACAAGCCTGTGGGATCTCGAAAGGCTGAGACCGCAACACCGATGGACGTTGATGCTCTTGTCCCGAAGGGCAAGGGGTCGTTCAAAGGCAAGTGCAACAGCTGTGGTCGACCAGGCCACAGAGCGGCTGACTGCCGCGCTCAGGGGGGAGCTGGTGCAGGCAAGAGCAAGTCTTCAACGACCCAGGTGCAGTGTTTTGCTTGTGGTCGCTACGGGCACTTCAGCTGGGAGTGCAACAGCAGCAGCAGCAAAGGCAAAGGCAAAGGAACAGGAGCAGGACAGGGCTACGAGAAGGGAGGTGCCAAAGGAGGAAAGGACAAGACCAAAGGAAAGGGCCAAGGAGGAAAGAAGGGAAAAGGCAAAGGGAAGAAAGGAGGTTTCAGTGCAATGGAGTGGGAGGAGCATGAAGGATGGGGCCAAGATGAATGGGACGGCTGGTGGTCCTCATCGTGGAGTGAGCAGCCGGCGTCCGAACCTCCAGCCAAGGCCGACCAGCAAGCAGGCGGCATTGGAAGCCTGGACTTGAACCACCTCGAGTCCCTTGCAGAGAGCGTGACGAAGATGAGCTGCAGCAGCGTGGAGTCTTACAAGGTCCAGTGGAGAGGCGCAGAGTGGTTGAAGCTCAACTACGATTCAGGCGCTGCTACAACTGCAATCCCGGATGAGCTCATCGAAGGGCCTTTGGAGGCTCGTGGAGAGTTCATCGTTGCATCCGGCGAGGAGATCCCCAACTTTGGCCGCTTCAGAGTCCCGGCAGTGGATGCCAACGGCAAGAGGAGGAGTTTTGCAGCTTACGCTACGAAGGTTCACAAGCCACTCGGCTCAGCTGCTGAGTTCAGCAGCACCCATGACTGTGTGTTGTGGGCTGAAGGCGGCGCGTTGATTCCGAAGAACAGCGCGGTTGCACTTGGACTTCGCAAAGAATACTATCGCCTCAAACATATGTATGGAGATTGCGATGAGATCCCCTTGTACCGCGAGGGCAACCTCTACAACTTGTACCTGAAGCAGGATGGTGTGCCTCAGCAGCTCAGTCCTTTGCAGGAAGCGTCTTCTTCGTCCGGGGCCTCGGCCGCGGACGGTCGTCAGTCGGGAAACGGCCGGCAGGCGAAGGAGCTGTAAGGCCGAACACAGAACAAGGAGCACAGGAGCCTTCTGATGAAGACCATTGGAAGGTAGAAGGAGACAACAAGCTAGTCAGATACCATGTTTCACTGCGGCGTTCCCTTTTCTCGCCACACCAAGCAAGCAGCATCCCGGTGAACGGAGATCTCATTTTGGGATCCCGAACGACGGAGGCGATCTTTGAGGACGGCTCTGTTGAGACTGTGGAGGACGATTGGACAACACGAAGATCAGCCAACAGACGTCTCAAAGCACGATGGTTCGGACGCACGATTTTCACATTCAGAAGAGAACAAGCCGAAGCAGCAGCAGCTGAGAGGAAGCAAGGCCTTGGGTGGCCGACCGAAGAAGAGGAGCGTGCTGCAGGAGGAGAAGCCGCGGACAGTGATCCGCCTCATGAGGAGTCTGAGGAGTTTCGCAAAAGCAGAGCTGCAGCAGAGCCAACGCCGGAACAGAGAGAGAACCATTTCTTGGAGAATCATGCCGTGTATCGCCCGTGGTGCGAAGTGTGTGTGAAGAGCCGCGGCCTTGGAACCCAACATAGGAGGGCCTTGAAGAAGGAGGCCACTGAAAGTTCAGAAGGCCCGCGCATCTTCTCTGACTACTTCTTCATGTCTACAGATGAGGACAGCGTTCCCATGCTGGCCTTGAAGTTCAGTCGTTCGAAGAGGATTGCCGCCACAGCATTGCCTCGCAAGGGCATCTCAGAGCTGGGCTGCAAGTTCATGTCCAATTTCATCAAGATGACAGGTGTGAAGCGTTTTGTCAATTTTTCTGACGGGGAGCCGGCCATGAAGGCTCTGAAAGAGGAGTCTGCGAGGAAGGTGGCTGAAGTCGAGGCCATTCCTCGCGAGTGTCCTGTCGGCGACCATCAGAAGAACGGAGAGATCGAGTCTGCCGTTCGAGAGCTCAAGCGTCAAATGCGAGCAGTGAGGATGAGCTTGGAAGGCCGCCTCGGGCGAGCCTTAGCAGATGACGATCCGCTTTTGATGTGGATCCCCACGTTCGCAGGCGATTGCATTGCATTCCACCGCAGGGGTGCAGATGGCAAGACACCGTGGGAGAGAGAGACTGGCCGAAAGTGGCGTCGCCCTTGTTTGGAGTTTGGTGAGAAGGTGATGATCAAGGAAGCTTACGACAGAAGCAGTGGTCCAAAGAGAGACTGGCAAGCGAGGATGATACCGGTTAGGTATGTTGGGCATCATGCACGGGACTGGTGCGGTCATGGGCCTCACCTCGGAAGGCGTGAAGTTTGGCACAGGTGTGAGCAGACTGGCAGCTTCAGAACGTTGGAGCGTTGAGGGCCTTGAGGAGCTTCGTGGCCTGCCTTGGGACCTACAGCCGCGTCTGCGAGAGGCACGGGCAGTCGTTGGTGCAGAAGGTGTTTCAGTTCCTCGCTTTCCGTACCTTCCGTCGGGGAGCCCAGCACCGCGATCGTTTTATGTGACGCGCGAAGATGTGAAGCCAGAGAAGTACGGCTACACTGGTGGATGCAGGTCCTGTGACAATATCATGAGGACTGGGAAGAGCGACGTGGGGCACAACAGTGAGTGTCGGGAGCGAGTTTTCAGGCTTATGGAGCGTGACGAGAACATTCGTGTCAAAGAATACCACAACAGGGTTCAGGAAGCAGCAGCTAAGCAGCCGCAAAAGCCACAGCAGCAAGCAGCAGCCACAGCAGAAGAGCGGCAGCTAGAGAGCTCGACTGAAGAGGTTGAGAGCAGGAAGCGAGAGTCTGCTTCTGGCGAGGTCCCTGAATCTCCCAGTAAGCGTCCTGTGCCTGCTTCGCAGTGGGAACAGGAGGGGCACGGCCGGTATCGCAAGCGTCAGGCAGAGATGCCTGCAGAGGTGCTGCAAGTTAGAGTTTCGGAATCGGTGCCTTCGGAGGTCACAGCAGAGCCTCCGGCAGCTCAGATTGCAGTTGAGGCTTCGGCACCTGCTTCGGCGGAGTCGGGGCCAGCTTCAGTGGAGGATTTTTTGAAAGAAGAGGCTGCAGACATTGATTCGCTGGTTGCTTACGAGGTCCTGGGTTCCACGGTTGAGTTGGGCGAGCAGAAGAACGAACTCATCGCTGCAGCTTCGGAGCAAGTGCGCAAAGTGTATCAGCATGAGGGCATTTCTTTGAGTTCACTAGAAGTGAGGCAGATCGCAGCTCTACAAGTTGGGATTGCTGGTTGTCGCGTCCGAGAGATTTTTTCTCGTGACGGCCTGTCTCGAGCAGCTCCGCATTTTGGGCTGAGGCCAGGCTTTGTGCTAGACCTCACTGGGCCTCGTCCCTCAGGACCCAGTGCGGGCAAGCAGTGGTGTTTGGACAAGGAGGAGGACACAGCAGAGCTACAGCAGTTGATTTCGGATGAGCGTCCGTTGTTGGTCACAGGCAGTTCCAGGCATGATTTGTCTCAGCTGCTTGGCACGAGGCCGCGCGGAGGACCAGAGCAGACAGCATTGAGGACAGAGAAGGCTCAGAAGCAGTTCAGGGCTTGTGTCCGGTTTTACCGGAAGCAACATGAGGAGCAGAGGTCTTTCTTACACGAGCATCCGGCTGGCGCGGCAAGCTGGCAGGATCGGGACATGCTGGCGCTACAGAGCTTGCCTGGCGTGTATACTGTGGAAGGACCGACGTGCTACTGGAATCGTTCAGCCAATTCTGGAGGCAGCGGCATCTTTAGATCCAAGACGAGATTCGTCACGAACTCTCGTTTCCTAGCAGAGTCTTTGAGGAAAGGTGGTTGCGACTCACCTCAAGGGCCATGGCGACGGCAGCTAGACTCTGTTGAAGGCCTCGCGGGCCTTAGCATGTCTGGCCAGCCAAAGTTGGTGTGCTCAGTGCTCACAGGCTTGCGGCAGCAAATGACGCAGGATGGACACATCAGCGATTTGGATTTCAAGTACGCGGGCCCTGTTCCCTCGCAGCCCACTTTCGAGGCTGACAATGAGGAGCTTCAGGAGGATTACAACAAGTTTTTCGACAACATCAGTGGTGAAGAGTTGCCACCAAATCTGGTGGCGAAAGCAAGACAGGAGGAGATTTCATGGATTCGTTCGATCAATCTGTATGACAAGGTTCCCAGAGCAGAGGCAGCGAGCAGAGGCATTCGACCTCTGCCCATACGCTGGGTAGATGTCAACAAGGGCGACCGTGCGAACTACAATGTTCGCAGTCGTCTTGTGGGAAAGGAGCTTAAGGCTAAAACTAAACATGCTTTGTTAGCTCACGAATTGTTCTCTGCCATGCCGCCATGGGAAATGGTCAAATCTCTCCTCTCAACTTTCGCTTCTGGTCACTGACGGCGTCTCCTCCGAGTCTCTAGTGCTAGGCGTTTTCGACATCAGTAGGGCGCATTTCATGGCTCCTGCAACCAGAGAGCTGTATGTGGAGATCCCTGATGAGGACAAAGGTCCTGGCGAAGAGAACCTCATAGGAAGACTGAATCGCAGCATGTACGGTTTTCGAGATGCTTCGCACAACTGGATGGAGGACTGGCAAGAGTTGCTTCAAGAAGAAGGCTACAAGATTGGAGTTGCTAATCCCGCATTGTTCTGGAATCAGGCGTTGGCGAGTCGTGGCGCGGTTCACGGCGATGACTTTTACGTTCTGGGGTCTGTTAGTGCAGTCGATCGCATGGCTGCAGCTTTGAAGTCCCGTTACTCAGTGCGTGAGAGCCACAGGCTTGGTTTCGGCGAAGGTTGCACACAGCATGCTACTATCTTGAACAGGGTCGTTAGCTTGGGGGAACTCAACGGCAAGCGCTATATGTCCAGATCGAGCCGGATAAGCGTCATGTTGAGCTCATCGTGTCTTCGCTGGGGTTAGACAAAGGCAACACGAAGAGTGTAACCACTCCGTCTGTCAAGCCCTCGGATGCTGAAGCTGAGCAGTTTCAGCATGGCCCCAAGTTATCTGCAAGTGAAACGTCATTGTACCGATCGTGTGTAATGCGAGCCAGTTTTCTTAGCCAAGATCGTGCTGATTTGGGTGAGTCCGTAAAGGCTCTTGCTCAGGGCATGGCTGCACCCACACGTGCACATCTACAAGCTTTGAAGCGCTTAGGGCGATACTTGCTGCATCGCCCCACTGTTGCAGTCAGATTCTGGCAGCAAGCGTCCTGCCCCACTATCACTTGTATGGTGGATTCAGACCATGCTGCAGACAGAATTACTCGCAAGTCCACTACAGGCATGGTGGTTCGCATTGGTGCTCACACTATCAAGTCCACGTCTAATCTTCAAACTTCGGTGGGATTGAATGTTTCAGAGGCGGAATACTATGCGCTCGTCCATGGGGCAGCACATGGTTTAGGCTTGCGCTCCTACCTCGCTGATCTGGGACTTGACATGGATGTGATCATTCAGAGCGACTCAAACGCCGCTCGAGCTTTTGCTTCACGCAGAGGTTTGGGCAAGCAGCGACATGTCATGACTCGTTATCTTTGGCTCCAAGAACGCGTTCGATGCAAGCATCTGCAGATCGTAAAGATCCATACCGATGACAACTGCTCAGATATACTCACGAAGAGTGTGTCGCAAGGAACTCTTGAGAAGCACATGAAGAGCATGGGCTTCTTAGTCGTGGAAGCGTCGGTGTTTCATAACACAAATCACCGTGACTATGCATGTCAGGAGTGCCCTGGAACCAGGCTCCGCTACACCTCGACGCGACTGAGCCCGAATACGCGGGCCCAGCAACGAGGAGGGGTGATCGTGTCTCGAGGTGCTACGGCCGAATGGCCCATGCGCAAGGATGACACGCACAACTCGAGATTGCTTGGCAGCATGATTGGCCCAAAACTGTTCTGTGAGAGTGTAGGCCCCCCAGCTAAATTATTTCACTAAAAAAGGAGAGGACCAAGCCTCGCCGTGATGGTCTGCATCGCTTTTTCAGCTGCGACACGGGTAAAGCTGAGGATCCAACTCCCCAGGCAGAGGAGGAGACGCTTGGTAATGAGGATGACCCCAGCTTAGGTGTCCCAATGGTGGTTTCTTCGGATTCCGAAGCAGAGATGATCTCAGACACACCAGTGGAGCAGGCAGGGCGGTTCAAGCTCCCAGTAATGGCTATAGCGGCGCTACAGGAGGATGAACACCAGGCCGAAACTTTGGCGAGGCATTGTTTCGCACAGGGTGAGGTCACTTGGCAGCAGCTGCACGAGATCATGCAGGCATTGCCAGAGGACCAAAAGATGAGGTGGACGCAACCTAGCCTCGAGACGAGGCTACCGCCCAAAACATTCATGACGGGTGCTTGGGCTCGCGGTCCGCACGGTGGCCTCACTAGGAACCAGCGCCTCTACCCGCAGGTGAGCAGCCTACTGGCTCATGTCGTACGCAGCGTGGACTCATCTTTCCAGTTTAGTTCCTGCACTCTGGCAAGAAATGTCTTGTCCAAGCCTCATCGTGACAGTCATAATGAGGTGGGTAGCTGGAATCTTGTAATACCGGTTTCTCGATTCAATGGAGGGGAACTATGGGTGCAGCATGAGGAGGGATCCACCTTTCTGACCAAAGAAGGAGCGCCTGGACACCTTTGGGACTCAAGTACCCCCATTCGTTTTGATCCGCGAAAGGAACATGCAACGATTCCGTGGGCCGGTGACCGGATGATCTTGACTGGCTATCATGTACGACAAGTAGGCAAGCTTTCTGCCACAGATGTAGCCGTGCTGCGCAAGTCTGGCTTTAATCCTATGCTTTCCGCGCCACAATGACAGTGCAAGCAGCAGGGGCAATGGCTGCGTCGCGAAGGTCAAAAGATTTCGGATGAGTGAGTGGACATTGTCAACAAGTGCATGTGCGCTCAATGACCTCGCCCCGAGGTTTCGAGATTCGTCTGCGAGCACCAGGCATGCCTGCCCGACTACACTTCCATTTTATGTACAAACCGCGATCATTACCTGCCCAGGAATACCACATGGCGGCTCCAAATGGTGCAATGATCTTGCAGTCTACATGAGTTTTCATTTCATGGCTGATGTCGAGTGAGGGCAACGGAATGCAGGCTTGAACTCACTGTACAGCATAAGTAGTTCTCCCTTTCAATCCAGTTGCAGAAAAGTGTGGGGCTTGGAGCTGTCGGCTCGCCCACATTCAGGATGTGCTTGGTGCTGTCGGCACGGCATCCTCATTACAATATTCTCATTCCTTCCCACGTTTCCAAAACGCCGCGATCTTCAAGAGACCGAGGCTGCATGAGTCTTTATTTAGTGTATGTTTTCGGGCCCAGCGCGCTCCCCTGAGGAGCCGATGCAATAGCGCATCGCCGGCTTCACACATAGGTCGCCCTTGAGCGGTTGTGCATGCAAAGCAAAAAAAGCAGCAGTAGCAGTAGCAGTAGCAGTAGCAGTAGCAGTAGCAGTAGCAGTAGCA